CTTCAGGGCACTTGGGCAAGACCCCAGATGGTCTGCAGCAACACACAGGCAACACGGGAGGATCAGCGCTACGTGGTGAGAAATGTACCTCCTTTCGTGGGACAACATTTTCCAGTCCTTCTGAGTAAATCAAAGAGAAATCTCAGCTTGGTGATTGCAGGTCTTTAATGCTTATTTCTCTGTCTCTGTCTGTCTGTCTCCCTTAACAAAAGTCTACCATCAGCCTCAGGCTCAGGGCCTGTCTCAGGTAAAAGCCGGTTAGGGTGTAATAACGGTGATCGGTTTCATTGTGTTTACTTTTGTAGCTGCTTTCTAATTATAGCAAGTGATTCTGAGTTTCCATTTTGGATAGTAATAGGAAGTTTCTTTTTTCAAGTAAATGTGCATAAGTAAAAGGAGACTGCTCAAAGGAAAACGGCTGGTGGTTGATAGAACAGGCTGTGGCATTGTTGGGCCCCAGAGGGAAGGGCTGTATAAGCATACAGGAATTTCTGGGAAGGCAGCTAAATGCAGTTGCTGCATGGGGGCCAGGAAGCATTTGGAGGTGTGACTGGGCACAGCTTGGCTTTTGAGCCCAAGAGAGGCCCGCTGGGGACATGTTGGGAGCCAACCTACCCCTACCAGCAGGTGGAACTGGTTTTGCTGCTCCAAAACAGAGCTACGGGGACAGCCACTAGAGAGCAGAGCTAAGGGCATGCCAGGCGGAGGGGCCACAGTCCACCCTGCACTGTGCCTCCCAGCCTGGAGCCAGGAAGCTCAGAGAGGCCAGTGGCCCTGCCCAGGACTCAGCACTGACCCTGTACCCCCAGGCCCAGCTGGGTGACCCCTAAAGGCTTCCTGGAATTTGAATGCAGGGTTATTTTGTGTGTGCTGCCTCTCAGAGCATGTCACTTTGACGTGGACATGTCGGGTCTGGTCCTGGTACTGTCCCTGTCTCGCCATGTGACCCTGGGTGGGTCACCTCTCCAGCCCTTGATTTTCCCATCTGTAAACAGAGATGAGTAAAATAACCTTTAAGGGCATGTCAGTCCATTTTGCATTGCTATAAAGGAATACCTGAGGCTGAGTAGCTTATAAAGAAAAGAGGGTTATTTGGCTCACGATTGTGCAGGTTGCACAAGAAGCATAGCACCGACATTGCTTCTGGTGAAGCTTCAGGAAGCTTCCACTTATGGTGGAAGGGGAAGGGGGAGCTCATGACTTACATGGCAAGAAAGGGAGCAAGAGCGATGTCAGGCTCTTCTAAACAACCAGCTCTCACATAAACTAACAGAGCAAGAACTCACTCATTACCATGGGGAGGGCACCCAGCCATCCATGAGGGACCTGCCGCCATGACCCAAACATCTCCCACCAGGTCACACCTTCAACACTGGGAGTCACATTCAGCATGAGATTTGGAGGTGACAACCACACATCCAAACCATATCAAGGACCCATTTCAGTGAGGGGACCAGGGACATACCCCTTCCCCTCTCCTCCACATCCTTTAATGTGGGGCTCAGCAAGGAAAAAGGGCTTGGGTCAAATTAAAACCTGGGCTTAATTTCATGCTCCAGCTATTAGCTGTGTAACCCTGGGCAAGTCACTTAACCCCCCCAGATTACAATGTTACAAATGATCCCATTTTCCTCAACTGAGACATGGGATAGGAACATATCCCGAGCACAGCTGGACTGACAGTGCTATCAATGGCCCGACAGTGCCTGGTCACACAGTAGGCCTGGGGAGCCCTGACTTTTACCATACAGGGAGCTGTGTGCAGAGCTTGTTTTCAACTGTGGGCTTGGCATGGACCTTTCGGCATCCCAGGGGACAGGGTCTCATGAGGATGCCTAATCCCAGCTCAAAGAGGAGACCCCAGGACTCCATCACAGCCAGTGGCGGGGAGTGGCTGCTGGAGAAGGGCTTCATTGGAATGAATGCCTTTAAGCTCCAGGCCAAATGCCCAGAGTGGGTTTGCAGGTATGATTGTGAGGCTGGCATGGTGGGCCCATCTGCAGTCCCCTGGGATGGGACACCTGTACGGTAGAGGGCCCGGGTGGAGAGAAGACAAGGATGGGGATGAACCCAGGACCACAGACGGCCCAGTTCCGTGGATGATTTTCATCGAGGTGCCTTCAAGTCAGTTCACCATTGGGCTTCTCAACCTTTGAGGTACGCAGGTAAGAGCCACCTGTGGCAGTAGGGGAAGCTCTTGTTAAAGTGCAGATTCAGCAGGTCTAGGGTTGGGCCTGAAATTCTGTGTTCCTAACAAGGCTCCCTCCTGGGTATGGAGGTCAGGTACTCCTCACCTCTCCTGTGGACCCAGCTTTTGGGGGGTCAGGAGAAGAAGGTTCAGTCCCAGCTGCCGCCACTCTAAAGTCTCCTAGAAACAAGGACTAATACAGGTGGCGTGGGAGAGGGCCCAGGCAAACAGGGGAGGTGGGGTGCCCTGGTGGGGTGGCAGTGGGCCCTGCGGAAAGCTTGCTGGAGGAGGGGGCCTGAGGAATTCAAGGACTTGTTCCAGGAACCCAAGGAATGAGTGGGCTCTAATTGCTGCAGCATATGGGAGATTCCAGGAGGAGCTGACTGTGGCGGGCCATCCCAGGCCATCAGACAACTTGTAGTGGATGAAGATGCAATGTCTATGGCCAGAAGAAACTCCCATGGACCCTCAGGCCAAGGCTGCCAGAAGCACGAGGAAGGGGCAGCATTGCGTGTCATCAGGAAGAGGCAAGGTGATGGTCCTGAAGCTGCCCTGTGTGGCCAGTCCCTTTTTGGGAAGCCTGAATAAATCCATTTCCTGTGCACTGTGTGGGAAGCCAACCCCTCTTCAGAGGTACTGATGGGGAGCCCCCCATGTGATTCTATAGGCTCCTTTACTCCCATATAAGTATTTTCTCTCTCTGTGCACAGCACACACACACACCCCACACACACATATCATCTATCTGTGATTTTGAGATGCACTCTTTTTTTTCACGTTTCAGCACCTCTGAACTCAATGGGATCCTACACTCCTTATAGGCCTGGCTTGATGCTGACATCCTTCAGTCCCAGGGAAGACCTGAAGATCTCCAGGTCTTGAGGCCTCTGGAACACCTCCATCTGAGACCACTTTAACATGATTTCTGTGCTTGAGGGATTTTGGACCACGCTGCATGTATTCAGCCCTAAAACATGGGTGAGTGCCAGCTTGCAGTTCAGACTCTTAGAGGAAGTTCCCTGTACTCCACCCAGTGCCAAGTTTGATTTGTGTGAATTTTCTTAATGTCCCCTCCTGTACAACAGGTTTATTTGGTATTAATCCTTATATCAGGGGTCTAACTCTTTGGTTTTCCAGGTGTTTTTTTGCTGGAATACCGCATTAAACTGTCCATGTTGGGTATTTTTTCTTTCTTAGTAAACATTTGGTGCATCTTAGAGTTGACAGCATTTTAGATTTGAAGAAATAACTGACAAAATCAATATAATCTGTTCTGTCATTACAAATAGACTCGTAGCTCTTTAATTTTTCCATTTAACACTTTAATTTTCCATAGGCCTAGATTTTCAAGAAGTCCAATATCTCTCACTTGAAGTGTCTTTTCCCTAGAGTAGATTGGGAGATTTGAGGGATATCTGTCCAAACACAAGAAAGTCTGTTTCTAGTCTCCCATCAAGCCTGATGGGGCGTCTACAGTTGTTACCACAAGGTGTCGCTGTTGAACAGATTCTGGTGCAGTCTAGTGTATACTTGTCCAATTCTAGAGTGATCACTTGCTGGGCCAAGTCCCTCCCCTTAAGTGGTGCTGCACAATAAGGTTCCCAAATTACAGACTCTTTAATGCACCCTAATGAGCTCATCCAGGCAGTTTAGGTCTTCAGGGGCTTCCAGCCTTCAACATACATTGGGCCAAAACCAGACTGTACCACCAGCTCCAAGCCCTGTGTTGAATCTAGGTCATTGGTCCAGATGCCCCTTCATTCTGGGCCTGTGGTGTCCTTTCCAGACAGCAGACCTCAGTCAAGGGTATCCCAGTCCATCAGAGAGGTTCCAGGATCACAGATCCTCAAAAGGGGCAGTGTTGAGGATTCAGTCTCTTCTACACAGAAGCCCCATTAAGTATGTTGTATCAACTCCCCCCAGAGCTGTTTCTACATAACCCAGGGAAGCCATTCAGGAAACAGCTGCCTTATGAATGAAGATCCACCCCTAGACAGTGTGCTATGCCATCCCAGCCAGAAAAATTGTTGGCAACTTCCCTTGCCAAAAATGCCTTGTATCACAGAATCTTATGCCATTATTGCTTTCTGGCCCAGGGTCCTCCCACCCTTCAAAAGGATGGCATACAACTCCCACCATGTGTGTGTGTGTGTAGAGGCTGTTCTTGAGGGCAGTAGGTGAGATTTGTTTTGCTTCATCAGGTCTACATGGTAAGGGGGAAGGGCTAGAATACTAGGATAGTATTAGGATAATGGATGGGAATATTTTAAAGCAATTCTGAGGTGGAAGGAACAGAGAGAAAAGCCTTGGAGCAGCTGGAGAGAACTGTCTTCAAGGAAATGGACTAAGCTTTGTCTAGAATATGCGAGGTAAACTTCTCTTCCAGCTTCCCATGAAGACACTGGTGGGGTGGACACTGGTCTGGATGTTTTTGGCAGTTGGGTTTGTGTTTTGGAGATGAAGTGGCCCTGGCATCAAGGGGACGTGGCACACAAGCAGAGGCTTCCAAGGGGTCCCAGGAGCACCTCTGTCTGATACAGATGGGGAAATTGAGGACCAGAGGATGGGCTTGTTCAAAGTCACCCAGTGAGTTAGAGCCCCCAATGGCTTTTCCCATTAACAATGAACCCCAGGCCAGGGGTGGTGGCTCACACTTGTAACCCCAGTGTTTTGGGAAGCTGAGGCAGGAAGATCATTTAAGGTCAGAAGTTTGAGAGCAGCCTGGGCAACAGAGAGACCCTGTCTCTACAAAAAAAAATAATAATAATAAAAAAAATTAAAAATTAGCCTGGTGTGGTGGCGTGCACCTGTTTCCCAGCTACTTGGGAGGCTGAGGTGGGAGGATTGCTTGTGCCCAGGAGTTTGAGGCTGCAGTGAGACATAATTGAGCCACTGTACTTCAGACTGGGTGACAGAGCAAGACTGTCTCAAATAACAAAAAAGAAAAGGAAAAAGGAAAAAAGAAGAAGAAGAACCCCACACAGCCCACCATGAGCCATGGTGACCCCAAATCTCCAGCGTCCCTGCGGGGTCTTAGGCCGGCTCAGTGCAGGTATTCTCGCACGGTGAGCTCCTTCAGGGTGATGCCGCGGGGCGTGGGCCTCCGGAGCTGGCTCTCCTCCAGCCTCTCCTGCAGAGACACGAAGTCCTTGCCCAGCGTGTAGGCCAGGCGGACCATGGCGTCCAGCAGAGGCGCGTAGTAGCGATGGCCCTCCCTGGCCTGCAGGCGCTGCAGGGCCCTCTCTCCTGCCGCGAAGGCCTCGGCCGGGCGGTCGAGGTCGCGGTGGCACAGCAGCACGGCGCACAGGGCCGGGACGGCGGCCGCGGGGCAGTGGGCGGTGAGCTTCTCCTGCAGCGGCAGCACGCGCAGCAGCAGCTCCAGGGCGCGCGGGTACTGGCCGGCCCGCAGGCAGCCGAACGCCTCGCGCAGCTCCTGCCGCGTGAGGAAGTCCAGGAACTCCCGGGAACGGCGCACGCAGCGGATGGCGTAGAGCAGGCCCAGGTACTCCTGCAGGGCGCGTCGACGCTCGCAGATCATCTCCTCCGCGAAGTTCCCCGTCAGGTGCTTCCTGGGGAACTCCACGTCTTCGATCTCCTCCCTGAACGTCTTCAGCAGCGCTTTCTGGAGCTTTGCGAAGTCGGAATAGCGCCGTTCTAAGACGGCCTTGTTGTTGTCAAAGCTCCCAGTCTGGATGACGATGATTTGGTACACCTAGGGCGCAACCAGAGAGAGCCGTGGCCACCTCCTGGCGGGGGCTGCGGTGGACGCAGTACCCCGAGAGTAAAGTTAACCAGGCCGGTGTAAAGCATGCCCTGAAAACGGGCGATCCTTATATGCAATTCTGTTTATTAATTAACTAATTAATTAAATTTTAGAGACAGGGTCTCGCACTGTTACCCAGGCTGGAGTACAGTGATGCGATCATACCTCACTGCAACCTTGAGCTTCTGGGCTCAAGTGACCCGCTCACCTCAGCCTCCTGAGTAGCTAGCTGGGACTACAGGCACACCCACTACCCGGCTGATTTTTTTTTTTTTTTTTTTTTTTTTTAGAGATGGGGTCTGGCTGTGTTGCCCAGGCTGGTCTTGAACTCCTGGGCTCAAGCGATCCTCCTACCTGGGCTTCCCAAAGTGCTGGGATTACAGGCCTGAGCCACTGTGTTTTAAATTACTATTGACATCAGCTGAGTCAACCCTGGAACAACAACACAGCAAGGTGGGGACATCTGGGAAGGAAAAGGGCAGAGGGTCCTGCCCTGCAGGCTGCTGGGGTCGCTCTTGGCTTTACTTGCTAAAACTGGGCCTCCTTTTTCTGAACTGAGATGCTGTGTTTTCCAAATGTTTCACATTTGGGAGTTAGTTTTAGGTACAATATAACATCATTTAGGTACACTGGTGATGCCGTTATATGGTAAGAAAATCATCCCTTTTCAATTCTTTTTCAAGAGAATCCTGATTACAGGCAATTATATATTAAGGGCAATTATAACCCATGCATCTGACTCCAGAGCCAGATTGCATGGGTTATAATTACAGTCCCACCATGGTCTAGCTGTGTTGTTTTAGATGAGTAATTTAACCTCTCCGAGTCTCACTTTTCTCATTCATAAAACAAGGAGAGGCATAGTGCCTACCTCACCCGGTGAGGATTAAATGAGTTAATGTACTGAAACCACATGGAGCTGTGCCCAGCATGCCATTGGCATTCAATGGCAGCTTCGTTATTTATCCTGGTCCCAGATAAGTGAAGGAGAAGGATGAAGTGTGGCTCTTAGGCAGTCTTTAACATCTCCTTAACACAAGCTAAAATTCCAGTCTAACAGGGAGAGCAGCCCCCAGGCGCAGGGCTTTCCTGAAGCCACAGTACCCAGCTAGAATTTAATAACAGCGCATAGCTTTCCTTGTATTGATTTTCCTTGTTTCGACTTTTCTAGTATGTTACTTTTTCTTTGTGCCATGTGATACTGGTTTTCCATTTAAGGTATTTCTCTTTGAAATAAATGTACTTTGTGTTTTTAAAAAGTGATCCAATTTAAAGAAAAAATAAGTAGTAATAATTATAATGGATACAGGGATATGGCAAAATTGGTGAAGAAAGGACACAGGTGACCGACACCCGATAAGATGGGATTAAACTGGGCTATTTCCTTCTTGGGACCAAGAAGCATGACTTCCATGGTTCGAATCCTCACAGACCCTAGCAGGTGCTGAGCCTGAAGTGTGCTGACCCATTTCATAGTTGGGAAACCTGAGGCCCCACAAGACTTATTCAGGGCCGGGAAGGAAGCAGAGTGAGAGAGGCTCCACCATTTCCCGATCTCTGCTTACCACAAACTTAGAGACTTTTCTCTCCTCGATGCGAGCTGAGGCGATCTCAAAGAGCAGTTTGACATGCTTCCAGCGGCATTTCTCGTTCTGCCAGTACTGCTGGAGCTCCCGCGTGGTCATGCTGGAGTTGGAGCTCAGGCCACTATGCATGTCTGGAAGGACAACACCCTTAAGGATCTGCACCCTCTCAGTGCACTTTCGAGGCATGGCTTGGGGAGATGGCTGGGTCTATCTGAGATGGGATATCAGAACTCCTAAAGAGTACTGAATATCCCTCTCTCCCACTCCGCCATTGATAGGCCCAATTGGGGCATCAGACAGACCTCTGTGCCCAGCCTGGCAGAATCCACCCTACCACTGACAATCTCAAATAGCCCATCACCCCCAAGTGGTTTCTTAGCTGTGGAATGTGGTGTGGGCATTTTGCATCGTCCACTTCTGGTCTGCAGATTGGCCATGGTGAAATCCCCGCTCTGGACAAGCAGAGACTGACTTGTGTGTTTCTGTGCTCCCTGCAGCCCTGACTTTGTGACTGTCGCCAGGACTCCTTGAGCACACATCAGTGGGCAGGGGAGGCAGCAATAAGGATGTTATGTTCCAGCGTCAGCAGGCTGGCCCTTCCTAACCTTCTCATCTAACTGCTCACATGCTAGGCTCTTCTTGGACGTGCACTCCTCTGCCTGGCATCCAACCCTCTATTTCCATGCCTGGAAAACGAACACAGTGTTTCTTAAACCCCACTTGAGCCCTGCGCCCCTCTGAGCTTCTTGAGAAGCACAAATAATTGTGCATTTTATCGCAAAGGGCATGGTTCCCAGCTCTTTTCCAGTCTACCCTTCAAGACCAAGCCCCCACATCACTGCACATGCCCCTTGGCATTAGAGTAAGAGCCTCCCACCTTGTTCCTATAGTTTTTTATTTTATTTATTTGTTTTGCATGGCACATCTATTTTTCACTGATCTGTTTCTCTACCAAACCTCAGGACTAGTGCAGTGTTTGATTTGTTCCTGTTTCTGTTTCCCCAGTGCCCTGCATAGGGCCAGGAACAGAGCAGGTATTGAGTAGGCGCATCTTGAAGGATTGTAAGAAAAGATTTGTTCCAGGAGATGGCACTACAGCAGATGCTGTCCATGCCCCAGGCTGGACCATGCCCTCTTGGCACCTACTTTTCCAGAACATGCCACTGGCTTCCCTGAGGGCTTTCTAGGGCCATAGCAGCAGGCCCAGGAGCGTCCCTTCTCCTCTGCAGGGCAGGACTGGTAGATAACAGCCCGGCTTCCTCACCCCAGGATAGTACAACCCAGAGATATATTCCAAGGTCTCCCAGAAGACCCCCGCTAGGGTTGAGCCTCAGCCACTTATTATGCCTATCTGTTCACTGATGTCCTGCCCTGGCCTCTTGCCCTTTTCTGCCATTCCCATTCCCCTGCCGTGACTCCTAGGACCATCTCCCAGATAAACAGCTTGCACCAAATCTGTGTCTCAGTGTCTGCTTTGGGATAACCCAAGTTACAAGAGCTGCCCGGGCCTCTTGCTATATCCGCCAAAGTGACCCACATTTGTACTTTGAATGCCTTCAGACCTCTCCCCCAGACCGAGTCTCGAGCCTCAAGCCCACCTAAATGCCTGTCAGGTCCTGGGTGCGGGAGGTCAGGGCCAGCGGCTGGTGCTTCCTGCTGGGTCCTTGCTGTGCACTGTGTTATGGGTCCCTTCCAGCCAGGGCTCCCAGGGTGCTCTGGACTTGCCATGCTCCAAGCCTGCCAGAGGAACAAGAGAACAGTGAGTACCCACTCCAGTTGGGGTTCCCGGTGTCTCCTGGGGTGCCTAGGAGCTGTGTCATGCCCCCTCCTGGCAGTCAGAGGGAATGACAATGGCCCCACGGCTCAACCTTCCCCACTCTCCCAGCTGCCAGATCCCAGACCTGGGTCTGCCCCTTTGCTGGGCAGGTTACTCCAAGGCAGAGAAGACCCTTCACCTATTGTGATGATCCATGTATAATTGAGGTGATCCTTACGTATTGCTCAGAGTTTTAAATGAGATGATTCCTTTTTTTTTTTTTTTTTTTTTTTTGAGACGGAGTCTTGCTCTGTCGCCCAGGCTGGAGTGCAGTGACCGGATCTCAGCTCACTGCAAGCTCCGCCTCCCGGGTTCACGCCATTCTCCTGCCTCAGCCTCCCGAGTAGCTGGGACTACAGGCGCCCGCCACCTCGCCCGGCTAGTTTTTTTTTTGTATTTTTTAGTAGAGACGGGGTTTCACCGTGTCAGCCAGGATGGTCTCGATCTCCTGACCTTGTGATCCGCCCGTCTCGGCCTCCCAAAGTGCTGGGATTACAGGCTTGAGCCACCGCGCCCGGCCTTAAATGAGATGATTTCAAGCAAAAGTATTGGCTTTAGTGATTACTCGAGCGAAAGATGCTGGCTTGTGCAGACACTCACTTTTATGTTACACATGCGAATGAAGTCTCAGTGTTCAAGCTGAACACGGTGGCTCATGCCTGTAATCCCAGCACTTTGGGAGGCTGAGTTAGGAGGATCACTTGAGCCCAGGAATTTGAGACCAGCCTGGGCAATGTAGTGAGACCCCGTCTCTAGAAAAAATTAACAAAAATTGTCCAGGATGCATGCCTGTGGCCCCAGCTACTTGGGAGGCTGAGACAGGAGGATCCCTTAAACCCAAGAGACTGGGGCTGCAGTGAGCTACGATGACGCCACTGCACTCCAGTCTGGATGACAGAACAAGACCATCTCAAAAAGAAAAAAAGAAAGCTCAGTGTTCAGAGCAGGTAGATACTGGTATGAATCTTCTATCGATCAATCAATCAATTATCTATCTATCAGCAAAATTAACTGATAGCTTATACCCACTTCATACCCACCTAGGTTCTTCACAGCCCCTAATCTAGTTTAATGCTCACAAAAGTCTATCATTACCACCACATAACAGATGAGAAAACTGAGGTCTAGCCCAAAGTCACGCAGCTGGTGAGTGTGCGCAACAAGCAAAGCTGAGTTTGTCTCCAGTGCTTGTGACGTGCTGGCGGTGCGCTTGACACCCAACACACACTCTCACGCTAACCTGACCACTGTCTGCACTCAGGACTGTTTGCTGCTCCCTTTTATGATAAGGGAACTGAGACTTAGCGTTGCCGAAGGTAAAGAGCTGGTGAGTGGTGGGCAGGATACAGACCCAGGCTGGGCTGACTTCAGAATTCTCTCCACGTTACTCAGGGAGGGAGAACAGGCAGCTGGGATCCGGTTTACATAATAACTCCGTCTGTGACCTGGATAAGTGGATGGGATGACCTGGTAGCTGGCAAGTGACTCAACTTCTCTGTGCTTCTGTTTCCCATAAATTGGGGATAATAACAGAACCCACGTTCGCAAGGCTGGGGTGAGGATTCAGTCAGGCAGACTCTGAAGCCTCAGTTCAGGGCCCTGTCCATTCCGGAGACTGTGTAGTACCCCCGCTCTTAGTGTCTGGTAAGTGCTAGATGTTTCCAGAAGTATTTGCGAATTAAATGACTAAATTAAGGTGGATTGGAATAGAATTACAAATGTTTGAGACAACTTAGAAAAAGGGACAATTAAAGCTAGGCTGGAGCGAGTAGGTGGTATACTGGTTAGGCATGGAAATTCAAGACAAGGAAGGTGCAAGTGACCTCACCTTTTTCTACTAGGACCTGAGGAAGCTGCTGGTGGAACACAGAGGTAGAGCTGGGACTTGAACTCTGGTCTGTTGGATTCTGTGCCCTTGATCTGAACCCCTGAGCTGACTACGGCCTAGAGAAAGATAGAGCCAATGCCTCCCTGGCACCCCCTGAGCACAGATGGGGGTGGAGGTCATGCATGTCCCTGAGCACAGCCAGTGCCTGTCCCTTGCTCCAGGGATGAGAGCTCCTGGCCTGGGAGAGGGAAGGTCAGCTGGGGCCCAGAGTCTGCACTTCATGGGGAAGTGCCTGCTGTGTAGGGTGAAAGGAACCCTGGGGCCTTCTCCATGTGGCTCTGCATAGCCGTCCAGTGGGAGGCCCTTAGGGACCCTTCATCCAACCTCACCTTTTACAGATGGGCAAACAGAGACACAGAACAGGGGCCTGGCTGGCCCAGGGCTGCACATTCTTGAGCATGCTGTCACGGGCACCTCTCGCTTGTCTCTTGTCCCTGTCAGGAGTCAGGAGACATTGCCTTCCATCCTGACCAACTGTGTGTCCTTAAGCAAGTGCTTTAATATCTCTAGGCTTCTGTTTCCCCACCTGAAAAGTGTGGCTACAAGCCTCATCCTGTTGATAAGATGATGGATGACTAGGGATGGGTTTCCTACATTCTGGTAGGTGTCTAAGTGAGATAGCGGGTGGTCTATGTGATTCTTGGTGGCTGGGATTCTTGGGGGCCCAGGGCACTCTTATGCTCAGCACTTCTGTAAAGTGGGTGATGGTGAGTGCCCTTGGCCTCAGGGGCCCCAACCTTTGCAGACCTGTTTGCATGACCAGGCAGCTGGCTCCAGATGAGAAGCAGGGCACTATTGGCCCAGAGACCCTGTAAGACCCTAGAAATGATGCCTCAGCTTGACACTCCAGAAAAGACTGAGAAAGCTGATTATGAAACCCGGCCTCAGAATAAAAATCAAATTCAGCAGCCACAGTCAGCTCCCTTATAGTTGTCTCTTACAGGTTTCATTGGGAATCACCCATTTAAAGAGGAAGGGGAAGGAAAGAGTTGTGCACTGGTGTATCCGTGGGGTCTTGGGTAGCTTCCTATCCCTCTCCAGGCCTCAGTGTCCTCATCTGTGAAATGGGAAAGCAATCCCGTCGCTCTAAAAGCTCTCTGGGGACAGCCACATAGACGATTCCATGGCCCTTTCCTCCCCTCTCCTCACTCTCTGTAGCAAAGATTTCTTGACTTTATAACAAAATACTATAAATGTTGGTGCTGTTGGCCTGGAGGCCTGTAGTTGGCCCAGGGAACACAGCAGCTTCCCAGTCCCCTCTACCTTCCCGCTCTGTGTGCATAGACAGTCATTCTCCTCCTCCTGTCCCCAGGTGTCCTGACCACCCCCCTCTCCAAAAGCTGACTGCCAAGTCCAGTCCTTCTTCTGCTGGGCACACAGAGGCCACACCATCTTTCTGAAGGCCTGCAGAGGACTTTTCATGGGGGACGAGCCTCTAGGGGGTGAAATAAAGCTCCTGGCCCACTCTGGGAGACAGGAGATCCCCGGACGTTGGATGTGTGGCTGCCTCTGTTGGGGAAAGGGTGGGTACCCTCCAACAACTGGACGCTCACCTGAGAAGCCTTGCCAAAGCCAGGGGCTCCCAACCCAGTGTGCGTAAGAATCCCCTGGTGGGGTGGGGGTGGGATCCCAGGGGCTTGTTCAAAAGCAGGTTTCCTGGCTCCTAACACAGGAAAGTGTCATTGAACAGACCTGGATTCTGTATTTTCCACGAGTCCCCTAAAGCTATGCTGATGCAGGGATTCCCTGACACCGTTTTTTTTTTTTGAGAAACACGGGTGTGATGACTTATTCTCCAGGCCCAAGATGGGTTGTACAAGCGCCTAGCATCTCAAAAGGAATGGAGGTGATGGAGGGTCCAGGAGCTGTCCCTTCCTCTGCCTCAGTGCGCTAAGGAGAGCTCCAGACACAGTGGCTGTCACTAACCCTTTCCCCTCCTACCCTGCCCCCAACAGGTGCCAGGCAGGGTCCCAGGAGGAGGGGACTCAGGCCACAGCAGGCAGAGGACAGCTGAGTTTGGGATCAAATACTGACCTCCAGTCTCTGGGGCTGTGCGTGTCCAGGGGTCCGGGAGGAGTGTCACATGGCCCCTTCGAGCTCTTGGTTCTCAGCTCCGGCGACCAGCCGAGGGACTGACACTTTCTAAGTTCCCCGTTTGAAAACAGGAAACAGGCTGTGTGACCTGCTCCTGATCGCCCCAGCCTATTGGCTGGTGAAACATGGTATATTGAACTCAACTGACAGCCTGCCACCTCTTCTTCCGGGTAGCGCAGGGAACGGCAAGGCAGTGCAGGGCCAGCCCTGTGGGATCTAACTCAGCCTCACTCTCCCTGCAGCCTTGCAGCAGTCTGGCTGTCCTTCAAATCCCCGTTGATCTCTGGCATTCAGGCATTAGCTCTCAGAGCCCTTTCACGTTCATTATTCTACTCTATGAGCTAAGCATGATGGGGACCGTCATGCCCCTTGAACAGATGGGAAAACCGAGGCTTGGGTCACAGAGCTGGTGGGACACAGAGCCAGTGACTGACATAGAAGAGCAGTGGCGTGGAATTACAGTTCCATCTGGCGCCTTTTCTCTGAGCAAAGCTGTATCCATCACCACCAACAGAAAGTACCAGGGAAGCGAAACCCCAGGGCAGTGGTGTGATTCATGGCCACCCATCTTTGTGGCCTTGACAGCAAGAGAGGAAATCAGACAAAAAAAAAAAAAAAAAAAAAAAGAACTTTGCTGGCTCTCCCAGAAGTTTACCACATGTTTTTTTCTGAGCCACGATTCCCTTCCCCTCCATGAGTAGTCACAGTCTTGATTCAGATGGGGGTTACTACTTTGCTTTTCCTTAGAAATTTACCACCTATGAGATCCTCAAACAATTCAGTTTCATTTTACTCATTTGTGAATCTTATATAAATTGAGCCAAGCATACTGTGTGTATTCTCCAGTGCCTTGCTTCTTTCATGCAACATTTATGTGTTTAAGATTCACTGATGCATTTCTGGGTAGCTAGTTTTTTCATTTCCATTGTTGTGTTGCTACATTATTATTATTATTTATTTTACTTTAAGTTCTGGGATATGAGTGTAGAACGTGCAGGTTTGTTACATAGGTATATATGTGCCATGGTGGTTTGCTGCACCCATCAACCCGTCATCTAGGTTTTAAGCCCTGCATGCATTAGGTATTTGTCCTAATGCTCTCCTTCCCCTTGGTCCCCATCCCCCGACAGGCCCCAGTGTGTGATGTTCCCCTCCCTGTGTCCATGTGTTCTCATTGTTCAACTCCCACTTCTGAGTGAGAACATGCGGTGTTTGGTTTTCTGTTGCTACATTATTTAAATACATTGCCATTTATCTTTTTTTGTTGTTACTGTCTTTTGATGCACACTTGGGGTGTCCCTAGGACGGCCATCATGATCAATGCCCCTGATGATATTCTTACACATTTCTCCAAGTCCATGTACTTATCTGAGGTGAAATTGCTGGGTCTCAGAGTATGGATAGCTTCAACTGTGCTAGATTACGCCAAATATTTTCCAGAGTGACTATGCCATTTTGTATTCTCACCAACAGTGTATGAGAATTCTGGGTGCTCCACCTTCTCACCTACACTTGATATGGTCATTATTCTTATTATCTTAGAGACGGGGTCTTACTCTATCACCCAGGCTGGAGTGCAGTGGTACCATCATAACTAACTGCAACCTAGAACTCCTGGGCTCAAATGATCCTCCCACCTCGGCCTCCTGAGTAGCTAAGACTACAGGTATGTCACCATGCTTGGCTAATAAATTTTTTTTTTTTTTTTTTTTTTTGTAGAGATAGACCATGATGGCCACTACGTTGCCCAGGCTGGTCTTGAACTCCTGACCTCAAGCAATCCTTCTGCCTTGGGCTCCCAAAGCACTGAGATTACCAATGTGAGCCACTGTGCCTGGCCTGGTCAGTGTTTTTCAGTGTACCACCGCATTAATGTGCAGTGGTCTCTCATCATGGTTTTAAGTTGCATTTCCCTAAGGACTAATGATGTTGAGTATCTTTTCATGGGCTTATTTGCCATCCTTATACCTTCTCCAGTGAAGTGTCTGTTCAAGGCCATTGCTCATTATTGACTGGATTATTTTTAATGGTTTGTAGGTGTTCTTTATGTATTCATTTGGGTTTATGTGCTTCTCAATATCTTTTTCCATCCTGCAGTTTGTATTTTGTACTCTCTTAATGGAGTTTTGTGATGAATAGAAGTTGCCAACTTTAAAGAACCATATTAGTCCTTTGATATGGTTGAATTTCGACTTTCCTAATTGCAACATGAAATTTAATGAAGCCCTCCTAGTACCAAAGCATTCTGCCTTGAGCCAGTGTCATCCTTGGAGGGCATGGAGATTTCTCCTGTATTTGCTTCTGCAACGACCTCATAGGCTTGTGAACCTCAAGAGGAGTTCAGATGAGCCAAACACTTAGAACAACACTGTTCTGTGCTGTACAAGTGCTGGCAGTTCTTATTATTCTAAAACCGTTATCGCTTGTCTTTTTCATTGGAGGCTCTATAATGTCCCTGTTTACCTATTGACCTTGCTTATTGACATGCCCTGCAATCCCACCTCTCTGCAGTGCCATCACTGTCATTAAGAACCTCCACATCTGCAAAGGTCTGTCTCTGGGCGGAGCTCATGAGGAGTGCCATGAATGCTGTGCCTCTGGCCTGCTAGCTGGGGCACCCCGTAAGTGCAGGGGCCATACCTCAGTCATCTCCGCCTCCCCCTGCCCAGCCGAGGGCCTGGTGGTGTGGCTCCCTGTGTCTAGTGAGGCTGGAATGCCCTGCGCCCTCTCCTCCCTGGGTTGTGCCCCGTAACGTTCCAGTTTTCTCGCCTACTCGCTGCCCAGGCCTGGAATCTGCGAGACACCAGAGTGGAATCTAAGCCCTTCTCTGCGGCCCTGTAGGCCTCTCACGCTGCAAAAGGCAACCACAGGGGGAAAATGTGTGGTTGCCGCTGCTTCCTCTTATGGGGAAAGGAGACGTTTCTTGGAAACCCCCTGATGGAGAGGGGCCTGGCCCACATAGGTAGGACCCGGCTGAACCAGAGTGACCGGAAGATGCCACGCATGGCCACCTGTTGGATGTTGCTTTTTCTCTGCAGCCAGAGGTCTCTGTGGTGGAGGCAGAAGACATGGGTAGTGTCTTAGCTTGGGCTGCTGTAGCAACACACCGCAGACTGGGTGGCCTACACAACAGACATCTCTTTCTTACAGTTTTGGAGGCTGGGAAGGCCGAGATCAACATGTTAACAGATTCAGTGTCTGGAGAGGGCTTGATTCCTGGTTTGCAGATGGTTGCCTTCTTGTTCTATTCTCACATGGCAGAAGGAGGGCTAGAGAGTGCTCAGGGATCTCTACCCTCATGGCCTAATTATCTCTTAAAGGCCTCACCTTTTTCGTTAGGATTTTGATATATGAACTATATGAACTTGGAGGGCACATATTCAGTTCATAACAGGCAGGCAAGGTCCCATCGTCATGCGGGGGACACAGGAGTGGGCATCCTCCGTTGCAGTGCTGAAGCCAGATGGCGAGGAGGGTCACCACGAAGCACCAGCAGTGAGAAAGGGGAAATGCTAGTAGTGTCTCAGAACCTGATGCCTCTCCTAGAATTCAAAATCAGAGCACCTCTCCATCTCGCTTGGACCCTTCAGTGGCCTCCCACTGCATTCAGAGTAAATTCGAACTCTCTGCTGAGGCTTCCATGATCTGCCTCTTGTCTGCCTTCCCGCTTGTCACTCGGTCCACTCCCAGTGTCACTTACCACACACCAGCCGACCCAGACTGCTCACTGCTGCTCAGACGTGCATTTGTCCTCACAGTTCCTTCAGCTGGAAATACCCTCCGCTTGGTTTTTCCATCTCTGGCTTTCTCGTCTCGTCTCGTCTCGTCTCGTCTCATCTCATCTCATGAAGCGGCAGCTTCATTGTCGCTTCTCCCTGCGGCCTTCACCTGACCCCTCTGTCGGGATCTGTCCTTGTTTTGCTTATTTGTATACTTGTGCATTTCCTGTCTCAAATGCCACAATGGCAGGGACTTTGTCTGTATCATCATCTGTGTCCCCGGCACCTAGCACAGTGCTTGCAGCATAGTGGGTGCTCAGTAAGCCATTGTATGCGTGAATGAATGACAGGGTGAATACAGAGAAGTGGTCACCCAGGCTGTGGCTTCAGCTCAGCCCTGACTCATTGTGTGATTCTGGGCAGGCCACCACCCTGATTTTTGGCTTTCCTAACTGCAACATGAAATTAAATGACGTCCTTTTACCACCAAAGCATTCTACATTGAGCAAACAATTGAGTACTAGAAGCTACCCCTCACTGCCGCTCTGGATGCCTGACATGCTTGGAACTGCAACACTGATACGCCTTCTTCGAGAAATTCAACAAGAGTGTATCAGTCCCAAGTGTGCCTCCCAGCGCTGGTACAGCAAACCACAACTGGCCAGGGTTTTTCACAGGTGACACAAAATTTGATCTTGTCAATCTTGTTTTTTGCAGCTGGATGTGCCCGTTTAGCCTTTTATTAAATTTCAAAGGTTCTCAATATTGCAGGATTTAAAAACTGGGGCTGCAGACAGGATGCACGCGGGGCACCACTCTGGTTGTATTGAGACATGGCAGGGTGGGGCTGGGTACAGGCGCATTTATTTCTACACCGCAGGCTGAGGGAGCTTCAGTCACCATTACTTAACTTCCTGGTCTTTGTCAACCTCAGGACTGTCAGAACTGGGAATTGTGTAAAGATTCATGGTTAAGATTAGGAGAAAGTCCAACTTTTCTGATCAGGAGAACATACACCTCCCATTCTTGGGACATCTGTTTGGGCAAAGGTGCTGATGAGCAGTTTGGGTGGGGTTAAGGGCTGTCAGGGCCATTGTAAATCATTTTAAGGTATATGCCTTGCACAGAGGACCTAAAAAAGGGCAGCAGTGGGCCGGGCATGGTGGCGGATCACGAGGTCAGGTGATCGAGACCATCCTGGCCAACATGGTGAAACCCTGTCTCTACTAAAAATGCAAAAATTAGCTGGGCATGGTGGCGCATGCCTGTAGTCCCAGCTGCTCAGGAGGCTGAGACAGGAGAATTGCTCGAATCCACGAGGTAGAGGTTGCAGTGAGCCAAGA